TATTATATATATTTTGACACGATATTTCATTCTGTATCATTTCAAATACAAATATGCACTGACTATCAAGAAAGATGTAATTAAAATAATAATAATAATAATAATAATAATAATAATGATAATCAAATTGCACTGGAATGTGAAGAATGTTCAAAACATACATGAAAATTCAATTGAATAGAAGATAATGCACGTCTGTTTTTTTTTATTTTGTGATGAACCATTTTCGAAAGTTGTCATTCTTTGTGAGAATATGTTTGTTCTATCGAGTTTAGAAAAAAAAAAGAGAGCTTGACTTCGCTTTAATTATTAGAGATCTTTTTCTCTAAATTACTCAACAATATTTATTAATTATTGGTACCTTATTTAATTGATGAGTATCATATCATTTTTTTTAGTGTCATAGATTAGTGTAGAACCATGGTGAAAAATAATTGAAAGAAATATCTTTACTTATTCCCTTTTTCCTATTAAGTGTAGTGGGAATTATGTACTCTGCCTAGATTCCCTGCAACGATTGTGCCGATCACGCGGCCGGAGAAATGAGGAGGGTCAAACTTGGGATTGGAGACCTCATTCAACCGAAAAGACTAACTCACTTATAAAACGATTAGCAGAAAACATAATTCAAGTCATTTTAACTCAACCCTGTGAGTTAGAAGAACAATTAGGACGTCTCGTGATGAGGGCCGAGTTCCCTCAGGAGTCACGCGGCCCATGCCCCGTCTCACAACCACAGCAACTATTCTTTTAGGTACGTGGATTGTTCGAACATGGTGGGAGACTGGAAGACTATTTCAAGTTGCTGCAGAAATGTAAATATGCAACATGGAGTTGCTTGGAATCTGCGAAGCAGATTGGACGCCGATTGGACAACAAAGACAAGCTTCAGGAGAGATGCTGTTATAGCATTGCAATAAACACAAAAATACGTCAAAAATATTCAAGGAGTTGCTGTCCAAACAAACACAAAAGGCACTAATTGGAAGGGAATCTCACGTACTCGGGATCATCAGCCCGACCGTAGCTGCTACCTTGACGTAGTGGTCGGGCTTGCCTATCGTGATGACCCAACCGAGCTATATTGGCTGGGACATATGTTCCTGAAGGTTCTACCATGCCAGGCATGTCTATTGGAGAGCTATGAGGTCAAGGTCTGATGGAGAAGTCTTATAGCTGACAGTAGAGAGGTGCGACAGCAGTAAGGTGTTTCCCTCAGACAACCAGCATCTGCAGAGATGCTACCTTCTCACAAGGAAGGAAGGGTTAGAAAAGGTCGACCGTTAAAGTGTCATACCTCACTTTTCCTCACGGAATTTCATCTCCGTCGGTAAAAGTTGCCCACTAAGGGCTTTTAAGAGCGGAGCTAATACTCAGAAAACCTTTCATGAAAAAGTCGTGCATGACCGGCCTCAAGCAGTTGTCCCTTTGGCTCTGCGGTCACGCTCTCAGGTCTCTAAGACCGACACTAATCTACCTTGCGTTTCAAGTTCCTCAGAAAACATCCTTACATGGTGTGGGCAGCCGGGAAGTGACAACCGCCATCATACACGTAACAACACGCGTTATCGAATCGATCAAAATCAAATCCTTCCTACACCCCCTAATATCTCTCTTATATCCACATTCCTTTATCAACCCGCAAATCCACTGCAAAAGAAGCGAGTTCACAAAACGTTATTACTGTTCTCCTGAAACCTCGTTCTAAACTACATGTTTGGGCTATTAATGTACGGACATTGTGTCACATAGGGACTTTAGAATCTCGCGCCATCTATGTATGCTGAGTCTCCGAAACGCGCACACAGGTGTCGTGGTCTAAAGAACTGATAATGGCGACCGTCTGTTGCAACTATGCGCTCAGATAAGCACCTATTTCTGGCAAACACTAACTTTAGGCATAAGGAAAAGCATCTTTTGACCTGGCGACCCCCAGATTCCTCACAACCTTGGACCCAACTAGTTCGTATCGCCATCAGCCACCGATGGAGAGGTTCGATGAGGACTGTCTCTCGTTCTAGGGAACATGTGGATAGTTTGGATAAGAATCAAGAAGAGAAAGTAGCTATCAATATCAGCTGTACTATATGAAAGAAAGCCAACGCATAATCTAAATACACGGAGTCGAACAAGTGATCGTAGAGTAGCATCAGAGCTGACAAATGTAAAAACGTGGAAGATCTAGCACTGACGATGGAAAAGGCTGCAAGAGAAGGAAACTTGAGACATTTGTACGATACAATAAAGAGGCTCTCTGAAAACTATCGTAAACCAGAACGACCAGTGAAAAGCAAGGAAGGCAGTGTAATCAACATCATTGAAGAACAGAGAAGTAGGTGGGTAGGGCACTTCAAGGAACTCTTGAATCGACAAGCCCCACCGAACACACCCAACATCGGAGCAGCATCTACGGACCTCACAACCGATGTTCACTCACCAACAATAGAAGACATCAGTATGGCCATCAGACAAATCAAGAGCGGCAAAGCAGCAGGACCAGACAACATTCCAGCAGAGGTAATGAAAGCAGACGTGGCAGAAATTGTAAAAATATTCCATCTTCTCTTCAACAAGTTTTGGGATGTAGAACAAGTACCATCAGATTGGAAAGAAGGATACCTCATCAAAATACCAAAGAAAGGCGATCTCAGCAAGTGTGAGAACTACAGAGGCATCACTCTCCTTTCAATACCAGGCAAAGTCTTCAACAGGGTAT